ACAAACTTCATCCACAAAGATAAGGTATAAGTCGGGATGCAAAGTTCCGTCTCCTGCAAAAGGATTAGCTAGCAGTTTTTCTATCATACTCGAAGGAATCTCAAAGTGAATATTTTCATAAGGTTCAGTAGGTTGAGGAGCATCTCTTTGCTCTTCTGGTTGGGGTGAAGATACCCCAAACAAGCCCCTCAAAGGATTAGTTTCCATAGTGACAAGTAACAAAAATTTCAGCACACTAAATAAATGTTTCCTTACCAAGTTCCACTCACCAAAAGCGCTACACTCCCCGGCAACGGCGCCAGAAAAGAGTCTTGATGACCCACAAGTGTAGGGGATCTATCGTAGTCCTTTCGATAAGTAAGAGTGTCGAACCCAACGAGGAGCAGAAGGAAATGATAAGCGGTTTTCAGTAAGGTTTTCTCTGCAAGCACTGAAATAGTAGGTGATAGATAGTTTTGTGATAGGACAAATAGTAACGAGCAAAAAGTAAATAAAGTCAATAAAGAGCAGCAAGGTGGCCCAATCCTTTATGTAGCAAAGGATAAGCCTGGAAAAATTCTAATAATGAGGAAAGAGCTCGCGAGGACACATTGGGAATTATCGTCAAGCTAGTTTTCATCACATTCATATGATTCACATTCGGTACTTTGATAATTTGATATGTGGGTGGACCGGCACTTGGGTACTGCCCTAACTTGGACAAGCATACCACTTATGATTAACCCCTATTGCAAGCATCCGCAACTACAAAAAGGAGTATTAAGGTAAACCTAACCACAGCATTAGACATATGGGTCCATATCAACCCCTAACGAAGCAACGCATAAACTAGGGTTTAAGCTTCTGTCACTCTAGCAACCCATCATCTACTTATTACTTCCCTATGCCTTCCTCTAGTCCCAAATAATGGTGAAGTGTCATGTAGTCGACGTTCACATGACACCACTAGAGGAAAGACAACATACATCTCATCAAAATATCGAACGAATACCAAATTCACATGACTACTAATAGCAAGACTTCACCCATGTCCTCAGGAACAAATGTAACTACTCACAAAGCATATTCATGTTCATAATCAGAGGAGTAATAATATGCATAAAGCATCTAAACATATGATCTTCCACCAAGTAAACCAATTAGCATCAACTACAAGGAGTAATCAACACTACTAGCAACCCACAGGTACCAATTTGTGGTTTTGATACAAGATTGGATACAAGGGATGAACTAGGGTTTTGAGAGGAGATGGTGCTGGTGAAGATGTTGATGGAGATTGACCCCCTCCTGATGAGAGGATCGTTGGTGATGACGTTGGTGATGATTTCCCCCTCCCGGAGGGAAGTGTCCCCGGCAGAACAGCTCTGCCAGAGCCCTAGATTGATTCCGCCAAGGTTCCGCCTCGTGGCGGCGGAGTTTCATCCCGTAAGCTTGCCCTCGAATATTTCCAGGGTAAGAGTGATGATATATCAGAAGATAGATGTCGGAGGCCCACCAGGGGGCCCAGGAGATAGGGGGCGCGCCCTATAGGGGGGGGGCCCTGTCTCCTGGACAGGGTGTGGGCCCCCTGGCCTATTTCTTTCACTCATAAATTCTTAATAAATCTAAAAGGTTGTTTCGTGGAGTTTCAGGACTTTTGGAGTTGTGCAGAATGGGTTTCCAACGTTTGCTCCTTTTCTAGCCAGAATTCCAGCTGCCGGCATTCCCCCTCTTCATGGTAAACCTTTTAAAATAAGAGAGAATAGCCATAAATATTGAGATATAAAGTGTAATGACATCCCATAATGCAATAATTATTGATATAAAAGCATGATGCAAAATGGACGCATCATGCATCAGTATTAGTTCTCTGAGAATCTTGCCTAGCTCTCTTATGATGGCCCTTAGGATACAAAGGTTCCTGGGCCATTTTACCACCTCTAGTAACCCTAACAGCATTACCATTGTTCTTATTATTTAACTCATTGAGAAAATCATCTTGTGCCTTAAGTACTTGTTCTACTTGAGTTGTTGTTCACTAATAATCTTAAGATCACTTTTAACTCTAGACATATATTCACTCAAGTGTTCAACCATATAAGCATAACATTTCAATTGTCTACCAACATAAGCATTAAAGTTTTCTTGTTTAACAATGAAATTATCAAACTCATCCAAGCATTGACTAGCAGACTTATTATGAGGGATATCACCTTTATCAAATCTATATAGAGAATTTACCTTTACTACCTGTGTCGGGTTATCAAGACCATGTATTTCTTCAATAGGTGGTAAATTCTTCACGTCTTCAGCTTCAATTCCCTTTTCTTTCATAGATTTATTTGCCTCTTGGATATCTTCGGGACTGAGAAATAAAATACCCCTTTTCTTCGGAGTTGGCTTAGGAGTTGGTTCAGGAAGTGTCCAATCATTATCATTACTCAATATATTATTCTATAGCAATTCAGCTTGATCAATAGTTCTTTCCCTGAAAACGCAACCGGCACAATTATTCAAGTGGTCTCTGGAAGCATCGGTTAGTCCATTACAAAAGATATCAAGTATTTCTTTTTTCTTCAAAGGAGGATCAGGCAAAGCATTAAGTAATTGGAAAAGCCTCCCCCGAGCTTGTGGGAGACTCTCTTCTTCAATTTGCACAAAATTAAATATTTCCTACAAGGCAGCTTGTTTCTTATGAGCAGGAAAATATTTTGCAGAGAAGTAGTAAATCATATCCTGTGGACTACGCACACAACCAGAAGCAAGAGAATTAAACCATAACTTAGCATCACCCTTTAATGAGAAAGGAAACAATTTAAGAATATAGTAATAGCGGAATTTTTCCTCATAAATAAATAGGGTGGCTATATCATTCAGTTTAGTAAGGTGTGTGATACGTCTTCAACGTATCTAAGTATTCATGCTAATTTAAAACAAAACAGAGGCTGGGCAACTCGCTCCAGGAGCTCCCCTGATGGCTTCCTTCGTTCGCCGTCCGATTCTGGTCAATGTGGTCATTTTTTTGCTTCGAGCCGTTGGATGTTCGCTGGAATTGACCTGTGTCGTTTTCACCACGTGGTAGATTTTGGACAGGGAATGACCTGTGGGCTCGGGCTGGATCCAATTGGCTGGGTGAAACTATCCTGGGTGTCCGCGCGCCTCTCCACACGCGCCGCGTCACGCGCGCCGCGCCATCCGCGTCGTGCGGCGTGGGTGAGCCGCAGAGGGCTGGCCAACGCTTATGCACCCGATTTCTCTGCCCATGTCTGTGCTACACCGATGACGGGTGGGCCGTTGTTGCCTTTGGTCCCGCTCGTCGGTTGCACTGGGTGTCCGTCCCGTGGTGTAGGGTGTAGGCTAGAATTTTCTGGGGTCAACCGCTCTTGGCGGGAACCTCCTATCGCATTGCGCGCGTCGTGCATTGTGGGTAGCCGCTGCGGAGGGGCCGGCCGGTGCATGTGCACCCGGCTTGTGCGCCCACCTTTGGCCTGCCGTAATGACGGGTGGGCCAGTGCTGCTTCTGGTCCCGCTTGTCGGCTTCACCGGGTGCGTGTCTCGTTGTCTCGTTGGCTGGGTTGGTCGTTCCCGCGTGAGGAGGTTTTGGCAATCAACTCCGCGCGGCACGCGACGTGGGGTCTGTGCCAGGTCGTGCCAAGTCATGGGCGCTGTTTTTTCGTGTGGCCGTTCATTTTGCGTGCGTTCAATGACCGGTGGGCCTTATACTGCTGGTCCCATGCGTAAGCCTAATGGTTTGTCTCCTTCCACGCACATCTCTTCACGCGGCAGGGTGAAAGCAACCCTAGAGCCCTCATCATTCCTTCCATCCACTCCCCAATGCCTCCTCCTCATCCCCAGCCGGCGGCTCGACCTCTCGTGCCCTCGCCGACATCAACCTCTCCTGCACTCACACGCCAGCCGCCGATCTCCCGCGCCCTCACCCGCCAGCAGCCGAAGTCGCTCTCCCCCGCAGGTCGCCGTGCCCGGGATTTATGGCTGCTCCTTCGCCTCGCCCATCTAGATCCTCCATCGCCTCCCTCCCTTGCTGATGTTCATCTTATCTATTTATGCAGGGGGCTCGTCCTTCCGTGGTGCTCAGCCACCGTCCGGTTTGGAGGGGGAATAGGAGACCCCCAACGAAAACGAGCGTGCTAGCGGTGGACCCAAGGATGCGCGGTGATTGTGCCAGGTCCATGCTCCAGTTCTTCTGTTGGGTGAGCTTCTTCACCCTTCTTGTCAAGGAGATGTTCATGTCTAGGTAGGTTCCTACAAATGGGATTCCTTTTGTTTCTTTCAGTCGACCAGATGCTCAGATCTAGCTAGGCTTTCATGTAGAAATTTTGTTGTCTTTTTAAGTTTGTTGGGTACCTCAGCTAAGTTTCCGCAAAGTGGATTTTTGTTTGTTACTGCTCAAGAGATGCTCTCGGATCTAGCTATATTCCTGAAAGTTTTTTTTGTTGGCTTTCTTAGTTTGTTTGGTACCTTGATCTTTCCTCGTCGAGAAGGGGATATATTTGTCCTGGAGCTCCATTTCTCTTTATGGAGGAGTCTTTTGTTCCTTTGCTTGAATTGGCGCCTGGCGTGGGCATCTGTTTCAAGAGGGGACGACATACAATCCATGCAAGTGTGCTTAGTTGTTGTATGTATGGAAGCTGCAGCATCTTGCCAATTAGTCCCCACTAAAATTAATTTACCTCTCCATCTTTTTGTCTCGTGGATATCGATGCGAGTACTGTAGGTAAATAAAGAGCGCTGCTATGCACACGACGCATAGCAGACGATTTGTGCACGATAGGGCATATCCGTGCGTCCGTGCATATTATCAAAGTGCAGCAGACGGCTAGATGAAAATCGTGCACCTGTCGTCCATGGAGTGCATCGTCTGCATAGCTGTTTCGGTAAATAAATGTTCTATGGGAAAACATGCTGATTTAGAACCATAGCAAATGGAACTGTGCTTTGTAAGTAACTGGTACAGACGCTATTTAGAACCATAGCAAAACAACTATACAATTAAAATATCCATGACTAATTTGCAAGGTACAGCAGCGCGGAAGCAGCAACAGTCATGTTCTCAAGCTTTGATTTTGTATATAGAGCTAACGATCCATGCCCAATATGAAAAAATATCATTTCTGCTTGGTCTTTTGTCCTTGGACCCTTCAAGATGGCCATCCCCCACTCCATCAGAGTCCCTTGCTATAAAAAATCAGAAGTTTTCAGATTTAGTTGTCAAATGCTTAATTAAGTTGACAAAGGTATGTTGTCATTTTTATTTGACCATTCTGAATCTGTACAGATATCACTTCTGAATGCACATGTCATCTTTCAGGTTCTTCAGAGTACAATATATGAGGTTGACCTTGATTGCATTCTTCAAAGTGTTCATATTTATTTACAAGAACTTGGAATGGAAGAGATACGGAGGAGGTTTGTGCTGATCCCTTGCAGTTTACCATATAGCTGTTCATTTGATTTCTTTTTGTACATTAAACAATTGCATATGCTGTAGGGCTGGAGCTGATAACAAGCCATTAAGAATGGTCAAAATTGTGCTGCATGAACTTGTAAAGCTACGAGGCACAGCAATAAAAGGTCACCTTTCAATGGTTCCTATAGACTCTGAGCATACATTGATCTTAATCTCCAGGTAGAATTTGCAACTGCACCCTTTGATTTTTTCATAAAGCTTCTATGCCTCTTTTTTTTCTAAACAATACTATTGGGTCATCCTAGACCCTTGCAGCAGCTAGGATGTTAACCCCATCTGGACCTATGGGTCAAACTCACTCGGGTGATGCTGCATCGAACACACCAAATCCATCAGTTCATTCAACGGATGCACAATTGAAGGTTACTCCAATTCCTTTCTCCTTCTATCAATGTCGTGCTTGTGGGTAATTTTTTTTTACTTGGAGTTCATGGTACTGTATGCATTTAGATTTTTTGCGTTTTGCCAATCAAAAGTTCCGACTTAAACTGTACTACCATTGCTATCATGGCATTGTGCATGGATGAGCGCAATGCACACACTCGTTCTTTTGTTCTTAAATACCACCATATTCCCCCATCGTAGTTTGCTAAGATGATACTATTAAATAATTTATGCATGAGTATGTATAAGATATTTTGTTACTCGGATTATAACTCTTGCCTGTGTTTGTTGATCCAAACAAAGATGTTTACTCAAGGTTGGTTTGTTGATATTATACATTGATTTGATCCACTTTCCACATTTCCATTGTTAAACCCTAAACAGGCATCCATGTCCTTGGTGCCACTTCTTTACATTTATAAGCATTGTAATCCTTTTTCAGTGGTGACTGTAAATGATTATTTGGCACAGCGAGATGCTAAATGGATGGGTCGCGTTCATTGTTTTCTTGGCCTAACTGTCGGTCTAATTGAGGTGTACTTCTACATAATGGTGTTGTCATACTTTCTAGACTCCCTTATCATTCTGGCTTGGAACTAGTCAGTTTCTGCGCTGTTACAGTATTTTTATATAAATGTATGATCGGAGGAAAACATTCAACCTTCTTTCACTCTTTCATCTGTGGCATATGCATAGGCGGGTATGAAGTCTGATGAGAGGAGAGCCAACTATATGTGTGACATTACATACACTAATAACTCGGTAAGATGCTCAGTAGAACAACAACTTTAAGATAGTTCTGTTGACATCGGATTTTGGCAAGGAACAAAAGGCAAGTAAGATGGCCTCAAGTGAAAGAGTTTTAAGCATGAAAAGTTTCAGGCCGCCGAGTGGAACAACTTTGATTTTTAAGTCATCGACATCCGACCTCATCTCAGTGGCCGAAGTTGTACTCCGAGTGACAAAATTTAATGTTCTGAGTGCTTTTCGGCCGATTACGCCCTCAATATGGCCTTAGATGAAGGAGTGCTCTGAAGGAGTTGTCTTCGTCTCGTCGAGGCGATCGATTTTCATATATAAATCATCTCAATCCGAGTTCATATGCAAGAGTTATAGTCAATACGGTCTGGACAGGCCAGAGACCAAAATATTACGCTTGACACCAGACACATGTTAATGAGTGTCTGATGCAATGCGTGAGCAATTCGGCCTTCAAGACGGCCTTGAATTGAAAAACCTTCAACACGAGAAAGTTACGTCTCGTCAAGCCGATCGATTTTCATATATAATTCTTCTCAATCCGAGGTCGTATGAGACCTGGGGAGACAAATCAAGATCAGGCTATGTTTTCGGTCGAGTGAAAAGCTTATCATCCGAGTGAAAACTTACCGGTCAAGTGTAAGCTTACCTTTCGAGTGAAACCTTACAGGTCGAGTGAAAGCTTACTTTTCAAGGGAAAACTTACCGATCGAGTGAAAGTTTGACATCCAAGTGAAAACTTACCGGTCGAGTGAAAGCTTACCTTTCGAGTAAAACCTTACGGGTCGAGTGAAGGCTTACTTTTTAAGGGAAAACTTACCGGTCGAGTGAAAGTTTGACATCCGAGTGAAAACTTACCGGTCGAGTGAAAGCTTACCTTTCGAGTAAAACCTTACCGATCGAGTGAAAGCTTACTTTTTAAGGGAAAACTTACCGGTCGAGTGAAAGTTTGACATCCGAGTGAACTTATTATCATCTGAGTAAAGATATTACCGTCGGAATTAAAACTTGCCGATGGAGTAAGAGATTGCCTTTCCGAGTGAAAATATAGTCATCCGAGTGGAAATATGGTCATCCGAGTGAAATTGTCCTCCAGGTAAAGATATTCCGAGTGAAAACCTACCGATCGAGTAAAAGGTCGAGTGAAAACTTATCGATCGAGTAAAAGATTGTCTTCCGAGTGAAATTATAGTCATCCGAGTGAAAGATTGTCTTCCGAGTGAAAGACTCTAACATCCGAGTGAAAAGGTCCAGTCGGACGAAAAACTCTAATATCCGAGTGGATGAGCTCGGATCCGAGTGAAACTGAAGATGTGCCCGAAAGGTAATCCAAATGACCTCGGATGGAAAAGTGATCAACACGGAAGTTGTGCGTATCATCAAGACGGTAAACTTTGGTTTTGGAGTCATCATCATCAAAGGTAGTATATGGCCTACAAGTTCACTATGTGACTCGGATAATCCAGTCTACTGCAAGACCGAGTCCGACTGGAAGGTAAAGATGACCTCGAAGAGTATTCAAGATGGCCTTATTTGAAAAAGTAATCAACATGAGAGTTGTTCGTATCATCAAGGCGCACAAGTTTGATATTTGGGCCATCTTGATCGGAGATCATATGCAAGCTCGGCGGCCCGTGCAAGAAGGAAGACAGAGTTTGGGCCAGATTCAGACTGAATCAGAGTTGGAATAGAACTAGGACTCTAGGACGCGAATTGATGTAATTTTTCTTGTAAGGAAAGCCTAGATGAATCCTTTACTTGTACGGGAAGTCCAGCCGCCTCTTATATATGTTGGGGGTGACGGCCGATTGAACAACACCAATTGAACCAATCAATCTATTACACTTTTGTGTTCATCTATCTTTATCCCCTACCCTTGTATCTTTCTTTCTCGTTCTTCGTTCGTTCTTCGTGTTGGAGGGCAGCGATCCACGAGGCTCTAGGGGCGAGCGAATCGACCTAGGGCAGCCCATAGCCGCCGCACTCCCTGACGGGGTCCCTCCCGGGGGTGTGGGGTTTTCGGGTCTACAAAAGCGCCCGTCGACTGTCTTGCGTATCGCGCTGTCGGTCGGGTCTCCTTCGACGTGAGCTGCGGTGCATCACCCCCGGCGTCGAGGGTACACGTGACGTGTTTGTGTGTCAACACACTTTTTGGCGACTCCGCTGGGGACGAAGCTTTGAACAGTTTCCAGCATGTTCTTGCTACGAGGAGAGCGTCATCAAGCGGCTGCAATCTACAACGGTAACATGTATCATCAATCTCCTTATGTAGATGCAAATAGCCATTATGTTGATGTTGCTAGATCTTTCAATGGACATGTCATGTCGGCTAGCCCTAACGAGCAAAGGCCGACTAGTTATTCCGTTGGAGAAACTTGGAAGTTACAGAATCGCGACATGCAACCTACGAATCTGAACTTTCGTGCATCGGCAACATCTTTCAATATGCCGGTGAACAACACGATTTGTTCGAGTGATCAATATATGACACCTCAATTACAGGAGGGTGTCTCACTGTTTTATCCATCGGCAACCGACTCGCAATATGCGGGTTCATCCCCAAACATGCCGATGGATGGGGGAATCGGCCATGCTTCCATTAGCTATTTGGCCAGTTATCCTCAAACATCATATACTACACCTCGTGAGATTAATTGTTCGGTGGCATATGAAACTAAAAATATTTATGACTCGGATCACCTTTGTGGTTATGGCCGAGTGAATGGAGATTCTGCAGGAGCATACGTGCCTAATATTACAGGAGATGAGGTGGCTCTGGCTGCATTAAAAACTTTAGCCCAAAATAAGAAGATTAGTGCTATTTGCCTTGGGAAACATGAAAAGGGATTAGTTCCTGATTATGATGCAATAAGAGCTAGGGTTCTGAAGGAAGAAAAAGTTTTGCCGATTGATCAAATTGGCGAGAGAGAATATTCGACAGTAGTGCACATGTCTTCACCTATCACTGCAGCATGCTATACACCCCCTATACAATTGCAAAATTTCGGCAACATCACTTCATTGCCGAAAGATCATAAAAGTATTGGGGGGCAAGCCAATCCAAGTAGGGCCAAGTTTACAGAAAAATATGTGGCCCAAGTGGACAAGATCAAGCCAAAGCTCACAGGGAATAGCGTCAACGAATTTACTACGCCAACTCTTGAGGAATTACCAGCAGAATATCAACAGGCTTACGAAGCACTCAAGAAGAGCCGTGGAGAGGAATATTTGCAAGAATACGTCAAGTGCCTTCCTCCATCCAGCAACTATGTTGGCCCTTCTACGATATTGAAGCAAGAAGGTTTGCAAGCAAATCAGCAAGAAAGGGTTCACTCGGCTAATATGGTTGATTCGGTTGAAACTGAGTCAAATATGAATAAGTCATCTACAGCCGAGTCGAACGAATCCTTTAAAGAAAAGATGATGGTGGATTCAGTTGAAACCAGATTGAGCACAGAGACGGTTACAACCGAGTGCATAGAGTCCATACCGAGTACATCATACCAGCCGAGTGCATCGACCCGTCTGAGTACATCATGCCAGTCGAGTGCATCATTCCAGATGAGTGCATCGCTGGCTAAAGTCGAGTGCATCAAGCCAATTATTGCCGCGTGTGCTAAAACAGAAGATGCAAGTTTCGCCGAGCAAAAGAACGGTAAACGCAACGAGTTGGCCGTGTTAGATTTTTCTGGATGTGAGGGAGCTTACATGCTGCCCTATGAGTTCCGTGCCAAAGAAATTGATGAGCATCAAGAGAAAAGTTATATGGCCAAACAAAGTTTGGCTAGTGATAAAGATCAAGAACCAAAGCGTGCACCTGAGCAAAGTTCAACTGACAAAGAGCGTCCGAGTGAAATCCACTTGGGTAATCCGAGTGAAGTATACTCGGGCAATCCGAGTGAAATCTGCTCAATCAATTCGAGTGATGAGGCACGAGATCCAGAAAAAGAAGAAGACGCATTCAAGAATTATTCAGAAGTGGAGCAAGGTATTGTTCCAGTGGTGCAACCATCTTCTCGTTCCAACGACTTCACAAAGGTACACCTAGCCGAGAGTTTACTCAGTTTTCGATTCGGTCAAAATCATATTGTTGATGCACCCGTTAGTAAGATTCTAATTAATTTTGA